TCACAAATTACCTTTAACTGAATTTGTTTAAAGGTAAGCTGGAATACATGTATATATTTCCATGTATTGTTAGCTGAGCATATTTAGCTCCTACATGTATGTTTTAAATACCATTCTCTAATAAAAGGGGACAGGAAACATCCGTGGTGGCCTGGTGGTAAAGAATCTGCCTACCAATGCAAGGAACACAGGTTCAATCCCTGGTCCTAGAAGATTCCACATGCCTGGGGGCAACTAAGCCCCCGTACAACTATTGAGGCTCACATGCTCCAGAGTCCAAGTTCTGCAACCAGAGAAAGTGCTGGAATGAGAAGCCATGGCACGGCAACTAGAGGGTAGCCTCTGCTCACTACAACTAGACATCTAGCAATAAAGACCCAGCATAGTCAAAAATAATTTAATGTTAAAAAAAAAAGGACAGAAGTTCTTTGAAGAAATGACTGAGACTAGAGGTGAGACTGTAAATATATGACTCAGGGTAATCTTAAATTATGAGAAAGTAAAGAAAGTAAAGACAACTATCAAGCTGTCCAAACTGATAAAAATGGATAGTTACACAGTTTTATCTGTATACACTAGCAAATAACAATCTGAAAAGGAATTTAAAAAACAATTCCCTTTCAATGATGACAACATTAATAAAATACTTTGCCATGGATGTAATGAGGATGACAAGACTGGCATACATGATTGCTGAAAAATATCCTAAATGCATGTACAGATATTCCATAGCGATGGAAAGACTCAAGATGGCAATACCATGGAATGCATCTTCAATCTGAAATGAAAATTCAGTGCAAATTACAAAAGGTTGTTGAAAGGTTGTTGCTGGACCATGAAAAATGCCAGGATTCTTGGCCTCCAGAGGAGAAGAATTCAATCCAGGGCCAGTGACGAAGCTTGCTTGCTCAGAGCTTTTGTGTCACAAAGTTTTATTAAAGTATAAAAGAGACAGAGAAAGCTGCTGACATAGACTACCCCCTGCTAGTCTTTAGCCAGATGTTATACAGCCGCTAGCAGTCTGCTAATTAAAGAAAGGCAATGTCTCAGAGAATGGCACCAGGCCCCTCACCCACAACATGCACTGAGATAACACTGGCAGCAGGTGAGTCATCCTGAGCCATAAAATGATTGACATGAATCTTGAAAAAAGGCAGATTTCCAAGCAAATATATAGTTTCCTTAACATAGATTAGGAGAACAAGGTATGAGTAAAACATACTGGTGTGTCAGGTTGGTTCTGAGCCTTTAGGAGGAATGACTTGAAGACAGAGTCTAGGGTAAATACATAGTACATTACCATAGCTTAAGACAAACATTTCCATAAGAAGAATGCATTGCTTAGTTCAAGGTTTGAGAAAAGTTAAAATCAGGTGGAGCCAGGAGTCGTCATGGCAACCCAGAATTTTAAGAGAAACTTCCTTTTAAATTTGTATCCAGAAGGGGAAAAAATGTAACATTAGTTTGTCTCCTCCTGCCTCTTAAGTGAGAGATTAAAAAAACATCTGACACTTGCAGCCTATTCCCTCTGTCTGGAGACCCCTGGCCTTCCTGCCTGTTACCCTCTCGGGCCTTTAGGAAGAAATACACAAGCTGACTCTAACATACAGGTGGAATGACAAGTTACTCCAAAGAGCCAAAGCAATCACAGGAGTCTGCAGTTCAAAGGTCCTCTGGTGTGCTGGGCTAAGTTGCTTCAGTCACGTCCGACTGTCAAAAGCCCGCCAGGCTCCTCTGTCCATGGGAATTTTCCAGGCAAGAATACTGGAGTGGGTTGCCGCACCCTCCACCAGGGGATCCTCCCAATCCAGTGTCTAATTCCTGCATTGGAAGGTAGGTTCTTTACCACTAGCACAACCTGCGGCAAAAGTGCCTAAATGGAGATCAGGGAAACCCAGTTAGGAGAAGGGACTCAGAGAAAAGGAAGTGAGGGAAGGAGATTCTTAGTTGCATTCATTCAGACAAGCCCAGCAGGTAGTTCCGCAGGTGGAAGAGGAGGAGGAAGCAGGCTGGAGCTGCGTAGAAGATGAAAGAGGGAACTAAAGCAGGGCCCCCAACCTCTAGGATCTAATGCCTGATGATCAGAGGTGAAGCTGAAGAAATAATAACAGAAATAAGTGTTTGGGCACTCAGCCGTGTCCAACCCTTTGTGATCCTATGGACTGTAGGACAAGACTCCTCAGTCTATTGAATTATTCAGGCAAGAATACTGGAGTGGGCTGTCATTTCCTTCTCCAGGAGATCTTCCAGACCCAGGGATTGAACCCGGGTCTCCCGTATTGCAGGCAGACTCTTTACCAACTGAGCCTCCAGGGAACAGAAACAGAAATAGAGTGCACAATAAATGGACTGCACTTGAAACATCCCAAAACCTTCCCCCACCCTTGTCTGTCAAAAAACCATCTTCCAAAAAAACTCCCGAGGTCAAGGAAGGAACTTCAAGTGTACTCAGCTGTCCCAGGTTGCTGGCTTAGGGAGATGCTGAAGCAGGGGTGTCCCAAGAGGTAGACCCTCCCTTGCATGGGGTCCTCAACAGACCTCTGATAGCCTTGGTGATGATCGGAGAGGTGATTCATTTTTTTTTTAATATCCCTGTTGGATAAACTTAAAACTTAGCAATTCTTTGACAGTCTTCCTAAGAAAAAGTTTTCTTTCTTTACTGATCCGTGAAGTACCAACTGTGATGATCACTGTTCTAATGTACCTCATAGTGTTGCTGACTCTATGGATATGATTGTGTGACATTGAACTTATTCAATAAAAATGGTGAAGCATCTGCCCTGTGCACAGCACTTTCCAAGGGTTGGGGAGTATAATGAAAATACTCCATAAGATGCACAGCTGGTAGGCACATTCTTTTAAAAAAGCCTTTTACACTTCCACCAATAGTTTATTCTCAATGTCGACACTTGCCAATGAATGACCATGCTGGGTAGGAAGCTCATTAAAAGCCCAGGAGCCAGGGTTCCTGGAAGGATATCCCATTCTCCCTTGGACAGTCCTCCACCCTCTCTGGCTCTCAGTTTCCTCATCTGCAAAATCATGGACAACTAACTATAAATCATCCCTGGAACCCAAATCTATTGAGAGAGATGGGAAATATTACTCCAAGGCCTGGATGATAGACCAGATTTAAAGAAAAATATGTCATTGCTGCTTTTCAGTCAAACAGACAAATACAATGAAGGAAGGAGTCCCTGGTCCTACGGGATTTGCCTAGGGGTCTAGTCTGGGAAATTCTTACACATCAGGAGATGGCTCCGAGCTGGATTTCCACAAACAAGAACATCCATGCAAAAGACAAACCTGCAGAGATCTGTGCTCATCAGCCACAGGAAGAGACTGCCTCCTGACAGCCAGCAGCATTTACAAGTGACCTCCTAAGGCCTTCGCCAAACTACAGGGGCACCTCTGGGTTTTCTGTTTCCCTCACCTTTCTGACTCAAAAAAACACACATTTCTTCATAGAATGCCACAGTGAAAGGAAAACAGGCCTTCAATTTTTAGACCTCAATTTGGAAAAAAAACTTGGAGCTTTTTTTTTTTAATTAAAGCACCACATAATTTAAAAATTTTACACGTTCTAATTATTCAGTTCCAAAACACCACCCTTATTGCACAGGGTCCCCATGGAAAGGCTTCCTGTCAGCAGGACAGCCACAGACTCCCCCAGGAAAGGGCAGCAAGGTGCCCTCCTCCCTTCTCTTCTGCCTGGGCGGCCACCAGGTTTTTAAATCCATGCGCCCTACTAAGGTTCTAGGGTGCAATTCGTGGACCCTTCCCTTTCCCATCCCAGCAGGTTATCAAGGGCCCGCTGGCCTGCATAGTGCCAGAAGCAGGGCTGGGCCAGCTGGCCAGAGTGCGGGTTGTGGAGTCCCAGCAGGTGAAATCACCAGGCAGGATAAATCCCTCGGACTTCCTGGGGACCTCGCTGCAGGCACTAGGCTGCCTGGGAAAACCTCGGGTCTGAGCTTTATGCGAAGGGGTAAAGTGGTAAAGGCCTTGACCCCAGTGGCGAGGCCTTTCTGCGACCGCCAAGTTAGGGGGCTCCGAGACTGTGCCAACAGAGAGGGCGGAATACGTGATTTCCCACTCCACCCTGCACCACCGAGCCCCAGTTCCCGTACCTGTGGTCCGCACCCCTCCGCTCAGCTCACTGGATGCCGATGGATGGGGACGCAGGAGCCCACGAAATGGGCGTTCCCCGCCGCAATGGAGAGCCCTGAGACCTGGGACCCACTGCCTAGGAGCTCGGAGGAGGCGCACTCCGCCCCTGACGTGGGTCAAGTATGCTCTGCCCACACGCCGACTCCCAGGAGAGGCCCGAGGGCCTGCTACTGCAGCCAGGTGAAATCCATCCAGGAGCAAATCCACGCCACCGAGACAACCCAAGCTTTTTATCAGCTGTGAAGTGAAGTCGCTCAGTCGTGTCCGACTCTTTGTGACCCAGGCTTCTCCGTCCATGGAATTTTCCAGGCAAGGGTACTGGAGTGGGTTGCCATTTCCTTCTCCAGGGGATCTTCCCAACTCAGGGATCGAATCCGGGTCTCCCGCACTGCGGGCAGACGCTTTATCATCTGAGCCACCAGGGAAGCCCCACGCTAGGTACCTGGAAAGCAGGAGGCCGGCGAGGCGCACAGCGCGCCCCACGGGCCACCGCCCCGACTTAGACCACCACCGCGGCCCCGCCCGCGGCCCCGGGCCTCGGTGCTGCCGGCCCGTGACGCATGGGGGCCCCACCGTGCGCCGGTCGACCGCCACCCCGAGGTCCCCGCCGACGCCAGACCACCACCCCCGCATCCCACCGAAACGGGGCAAAGCCCTTCCCCACCACCTCGCACACCCGTAAGGCTGCCCCCCTGGACCCCGTCCTCTCCCCTCAACCACCGAGGCCCCCTACCCGCGCCCGCGTCCCAGGCACCCTTCTCCCCCCACCACCAAGGGCAGAGGGAAGGGGTCCGACGGGAAGCGTTGCGCCAAGCGGGCAGGGGACACGACAGAGGTGAGAGGGCGAGAGAACCGGACAAGACAGCCGCGGGAGGCGTGGGGGGGGGGGGGGTTGGGAGCAAGCCCCGAGGCTCGGAGGGCGTGGGGAGGTACCTGGCGACCGCGCGGCAGGCCCAGAGCAGCGGACGACCGGCCGAGACAGACCGGCCCAGGGCCAGCGGCAGGAGGCTACCCCGCGGCGGGGAGCAGCCACCCGTCACGCCGCACAGCCCGCGAGACGCGACCGGAGGATCCGGGCCCTGTGGTCCGCGGCGGGGTGTGGGGGGAGGCCGGTGCCACGGGCAAAGGCGCGTGGTGTGGGGCGGGGCGCTCTGAGCACCCCTTCCCCCCCACCAACCCTACGACCCAACCTCGAGGGAACGTGGCGGTGAGGTCGGGCGGAAGAGGGACACCGGAGAAGACCACCGGGTGCGGGGCAAGAGTGGCGGGGCGCCAGGCCGGGGGTGGAGGGGCGGGCGGGAAGGCGGAGGAGAGCCGCGTTTCCCACCCAACCCCTACTCTGCACGGCGCCCCCCACCTTCTCGCGCGGATCCTCATCCCCTTCAATCGCAAAGGCCACCGATCCGACCACCCACCCGGGGGCGACGCCTTCCAGACGTCTCCCCCTCCCTTCCTTCCCGTCGGCCGCACGGGGCAGAGGAGGGTCAGGGGCGGGTGATGATATCTTACAGAACCAAAGAAAATTGGTTAAAATAAAATTTTTTCTTGCAAACTGTAAAGCTGGTTCTTTTGCATATGCAATTAAAAACAATTAGCTTGTTAAAAAGGCCTGCCTAGGGCAAAGCTTGAAGTTAACCCTTTCCTTGAAAAACACTGTCCACTTTGCCTGAGACTTCAGCCTTGGGCAAATGAGAACTTAAAGCCCCCCCCCCCCCCCCAAAAAAGGAGGTCAAAGAGATATTTTAAATCTTAGGCGGAAAACTAGAAGATCTCTGTCTGTGTGGATTTATGTATGTCTCAGAGTGAGTCTTCTGTTTTTTGATAATATTGCTGAAGTTGTGAGTTCTTATTTAAATAATCTAAAGAAAAGGAAGCCCTTACAAATCAAACAGTTCTAAATAAAAGAAAAAATTGACCTGAATGAATTTTAGGTTCATGTGAGCTGGGAAATAGTAAATATTAAATATCTAGTATTTTTTTCCGCTGCTCTAATCTAGACACGTCTAAGAGTCACTAGCATTAAGCATAAACTGTTCGCAGTGCCCGGTTCATCATGAGCTAAATATTGCTGTATTGTGGTATCTGTCACAAGCTTGTCAACAAAGAAAGTGCCTCTAAAAACAAACAAAAAAACTCCTGAAAAATGTAAATGCAATATGAGCTTTTAGATAAACTATTAAAAATATTTATACTTTAAAATATCTGTCTATAATAGTTTTGATTGAGGCAGAGGAGAAGGGGACAACAGAGAATAAGATGGTTGGATGGCACCACTGACTCAATGGACATGAGTTTGAGCAAGCCCTGGAGAGTTGGTGATGGGCAGGGAAGCCTGGCATCCTGCAGTACATGGGGTCGCAGGACATGGAACAACAGACTGGTTCCAAATAGGAAAAGGAATATCGCAAGGCTGTATATTGTCACCCTGCTTATTTAACTTATATGCAGAATACATCATGAGAAACACTGGGCTGGATGAAGCACAAGCTGGAATCAAGATTGCCAGGAGAAATATCAATAACCTCAGATATACAGATGACACCACCCTTATGGCAGAAAGGGAAGAAGAACTAAAGAGCCTCTTGATGAAAGTGAAAGAGGAGAGTGTAAAAGCTACCTTAAAGCTCAACATTCAGAAAACTAAGATCATTGCATCTTGCCTCATCACTTCAGGGCAAATAGATGGGAAAACAGTAGAGATGGTGGCAGACTTTATTTTGGGGGCTCAGAAATCACTGCAGATGGTGACTGCAGCCATGAGATTAAAAGAAGCTTGCTACTGCTGCTGCTAAGTCACTTCAATCATGTCTGACTCTGTGTGACCCCATAGGCAGCAGCACACCAGGCTCCCCCATCCCTGGGATTCTCCAGGCAAGAACACTGGAGTGGGTTGCCATTTCCTTCTCCAATGCATGAAAGTGAAAAGTGAAAGTGAAGTTGCTCAGTCATGTCTGACTCTTAGCGACCCCATGGACTGCAGCCTACCAGGCTCCTCCATCCATGGGATTTTCCAGGCAAGAGTACTGGAGTGGGTTGGCATTGCCTTCTCTGAAAAGATGCTTACGACTTGGAAAGAAAGTGATGACCAAACTAGACAACATATTAAAAAGCAGAGACGTTACTGTGCCAACAAAGATCCACCTAGTCAAGGCTATGGTTTATCCATGTGTCATGTATGAATGTGAAAATTGGACTATAAAGTTGACTGACAAAGACCTGATGCTTTTGAACTGTGGTGTTGGAGAACATGCTTGAAGGTTGCTTAGACTACAAGGAGACCCAACCACTCCATCCTACAGGAAATCAGGCCTGAATATACATTGGAAGGACTAATATGAACCTGAAACTCCAATACTTTGGGCACTTGATGTGAAGAGCTGACTCATTTGGAAGTCACTTTGATTCCCCTGTGAGTGTGGGAGCCCGACCTAGGCACAGGGCCTCAGGGGCTATTGCCACTGAATAATGACATTAAAGCAAGCGCGTTCCAGCCCTCTGTGACTCTCAGCACGCAACAGATTGGGAAAGCTATCTATCTTGGAGGAACGAAAGGCAGGTGACAGAATGTGTTTTAAGGGCTCTCCTCGTAGCACGGGTTTGGCTCCTCAGAGGTCGGACCTCCAAGCCTGCGCCAAGGGCCTCAATTCCCAAGTCAGGGCTGTGTGTCACCCTGCATGTTCTGAGCCTGGCAAACACATTTCTAGGTCAGCACAGTACTGCCCATGAGGAAGGAGGCTGCGGGAGTGTGTCTGAGGGGGCCAGGTGCCATGCTGGGGTCACATGGCCAAGGGCACCTGGCACCTCCAATGGGCCCCTGGCAAAGAGTGGCAGGTCAGCACCTAGCTTGCGAAAAACTGAAGCAGGTAGCAAAGCTAGCTCTGGCAGAAGGAAGCAGACAGCCATGGGAGGCCTTTGCAAGCAGTTGCTGGGCCGCCCTGCGTTAGGGCTCCTCAGGTGAAAAAAGCCAGTTTGGGACCCGGGTCCGGGCTCCAGGTGGGCACCCAGGGTGTTCTGCCCGCAGGAGCCAAGCACAGTGCAGACAGGCCTAAGCGCGCGAGCTCTCTCCTGCAGAGCAAAAGTGACGGAACAGCCGTGTGGAGGTTGGCTAGACGTTCCCTGGGAGTGTGGGAGCCCTTCCTGGGCACGGGGCCCCAGGGGCCATTGCCACTGCCAACTGACCTCCCAGCCAGGGCTTCCCAGGCAGGGGTGACTCTCAGCCCGCAGGCGGCTGGGGACACTCTCTTCCTGGGAGGCAGGAAAGGCAGCCCCAGAGAGTTGGTTTCCAGGCCTCTGTCGTGCAGCCAGTGTGTGGCTCCTCAGACACCAGACCTCCGGGCCTGCTCCCAGGGCCTCAATTCCCAAGTCAGGGTCGGGTGTCTGCCTGCAGTCTGCGAGGCGTGCAAACACATTGTTAGGTCAGCGCGGTCCTGCCCATGGGACAGGGGACTGTCCCATGGGAATGAGGCTGCGGGAGTATGTCTCAGGGGGCGGGTTGCCATGCCAGTGTCACCTGGCTGAGGGCACCTGGCACCTCCCATAGGCCCCCGGTGAGGGGTGGCAGGCCAGCCCCTGGTGTGCCCAATGGCGGAGCGGGGAGCAAAGCTAGCTCTGGCAGGAGGAAGCAATAGCCACGGGAGGGCTTTGCAAGAAGTTTCTGGGCCGCCCCCCGTTAGGGCTCCCCGGGTGAAAAATGCCAGTAGTACCCCTAGGCCTGGGTTCCAGGTGGGTGCCCAGGGTGTTCTGCCCACAAGAGCTGAGCACGGTGCAGACAGGTCTAGGCTTGCAAGCTCGCTCCTGCAGAGCAAACGTGATGGAAAAGCCATGTGGAGGTTGCCTGGACGTTCCCTGGGAGTGTGGAAGCCCTCCCTGGCTGCAAGGACACAAGGGCCATTGCCACTGCAAAGTGACCTCCCCAAAAGCACTTCCCAGCCAGGGGTAACTCTCAGCCCTCGGGCGGCTGGGTCACTATCGTCCTTGGAGGCAGGAAAGGAAGCCCCAGAGAGTGGGTTTTCAGGCCTCAATTGCGCAGCCAGCGTGTGGCTTCTCAGATGCCAGATGGCCGGGCCTGCTCCCAGGACCTCAATTCCTGAGTCATGGCCGGGTGTCTGCCAGCACTCTGCGAGACTTGCAAACACATTCCTAGGTCAGCGCAGTCCTGCCCATGGGGAAGAAGGCTGCGGGAGTGCATCTGAGAGGGCCAGGTGCCATGCTGGGTTCATCTACCCGAGGGCACCTAGTACCTCCCATTATCCCCTGCTGAGGGGTGGCGGAACGGCCTCAGGCATACCCAATGAAGGAGCGGGGAGCAAAGCTAGCTCTGACAGAAGGGAGCAAACAGTCATGGGAGGCCTTTGAAGCTGTTGCTGGGCTGCCCCGCGTTAGGGCTCCCTGGTGAAAAATGCCTGTTGGGGCCCCTAGGCCTGGGCTCAAGGTGGGCGCCCAGGGTGTTCTGCTCACAGTAGCCAAGCAAAGTGCAGACAGGGCAAGACTCAAGAGGTCTCTCTGGCAGAGCAAACCTGATGGAAAACCCATGTGGAAGTTGCCTGTATGTTCCCTGGGAGTGTGGGAGCCCTCCCTGGGCCCTGGGACTCAGGGGCCATGTCCACAGTAAAATGACCTCCCAGCCAGTGCTTCCCAGCCAGGGATGACTCTCAGCCCGCAGGCGACTGGGAACGCTATCGTCCTTGGTGGCAGGAAAGGCAGGCCCAGAGAGTGGGTTTTCAGGCCTCTTGTGCAGCCAGTGTGTGGCTCCTCAGATGCCAGACCTCAAGGCCTGCTCCCAGGGACTCAATTCCTGAGTCAGGGCCAGGTGCCTGCCTTCACTCTGCAAGCCTTGCAAACACATTCCTAGGTCAGTACGGTCCTGCCCATGGGTGAGGAGGCTGTGGAGGTGCATCTGAGGGGGCCAAGTGCTATGCCGGGGTCACCTGGCACCTCCCATTGGCCCTCAGCAAAGTGTGGTGGGCCGGCCCCTGGTGTGACCAATGCCGGAGTGGGGAGCAAAGCTAGTTCTGGCAGAAGGAAGCAAACTGCCACAGGAGGGCTTTGCCAGCAGTTGCTGGGCTGCCCCACATTAGGGCTCCCTGGGCAAAAAATGCCAGTTGGGGCCCCTAGGCCCAGGCTCTAGGTGGGCACCCAGGGTGTTAGGAAATGCCAAAGAATGTTCAAGTTCAGTTCAGTTCAGTCGCTCAGTCATGTCTGACTCTGTGGGAGTTTGAGCATACTTTGGCATTGCCTTTCTTTGGGATTGGAATGATAACT